GGACTTCCCCTTTGATCCTGCTGAAGTCGCTGCATGTCCCCTACGTTAAGCCGTGCACTGACCCACTCTGCCTGTGTGCCTCTCTCGCTTCAGATATGGCTTGAGCGCAACGAGGCACTCCTCCGTTCGCCAGAGTTCATACCCGCGTTCCAAACGCTCGAGGTGCTCAATGACCTGCGAAAATTCACCTGCCCGCCTACGTGCCTAGCACTCAAGGAGCACTTTTGTGCACAGATGATCTTGTTCTGCTGAGGGCACATCAACCGGCGGCACCTGGGGTCAACAATTAATATCGCCATTGGGCCTCTAGCTTCAAGGGGAGTCTCTTCTAAATTCATTCGTACGTCCATTGTAGGATCACTGTGCCGAAAGTTTGGATTCACTTCCTCTACATCCTCAACCAATGAAATTGAACGTCTGTTCATTGTCCATAATGTACATGTAATTGGAGCTACGAGCAATTCCTTACTTTACTTCGTATTTAACATCTTGCCGAGTCCGAGACCGTTGTAGATCTTGTCGAGGCCTGTAGCGGTAACGATACCTTTCAGGAGACTATCAAGACCGAGGCCGCTGAGCAAGCGCCCAACAAGGTTGAGGACACCGGCAAGCAAAAGACCGACACCTCCGACGATCTGGGTCAAGGGTTCTGTCGAACGCAAGGTCAGCGGACGAAACCAGCCAGTGAAGCAACAGCTCACGGCCGAGGGCGTCAAGAAGAGGGCCTAGATCCTTCTTCGCTTTGGGGAACGAATCGAGCTTGTCTTTGGCCCATTCGATGGTGCCGCCGACTTCCTCGACCATCTACAAAAAGAAAGTTGCAAAAATCGGCAACGGAATTTCAAGCAAGTACAACGACTGGGTGCTTACGATTTTCAAGGCCTCCGCGAGACGCTGTTCCTCCGGCGTTGCCTGGTGGTCTCGCATGTTCCGCGTGGCCTTGTTGCTCAAGCGGTTGTCGGGATCCGCACCGCGGATGGCGCCGTTGGTCTCGTTCAAGATCTTCTCCGCTTGTTCAAGCAGAGGTTTGACGTTCTTGACGAGCTCAGCTTCGTCTCGGTCTTCTTCTTTGCGCGCGTCCATGTTTTCGATGTGCTGGGGAGAATTAAACCCGTTAGTTAGATCGCTGGAGAGACGCGGTGGAGCTCCTCGTACCTTGCGGATCATTTTGCACACAGGAGTGCACTTGTTGTTGGCATCCTCGATGAGAGAGGAGAGACGTTCTGCGAGCTTGCGGTCGGTCTCCTGCTCCTGTTCAGTGCGATCGTCCGCTCTGCTTGAGTTGGAGGCGTTATCGTTGAAATTCAGGGGTGATGCTTGCCTGGGGGGAGCAGGTACTTCCTCGTGGATGTCGGACATGGTCGTAGTTCAAGTTGTAAAGGGTTTTTTTTTACTGAAGTTGTGCGGTAAAGGAGTTCGGCTAGCATAGCAGTATCCTTTATATACGAGTTGCAGGCCGTAATGTGGCAACATGACGCTTCGCGGATCCTTGTCGTCAGCCGTGATGCGGTACCGCGTAATGTGGCGACTGGAGCACATTTCCGTGGTGCTTGTGGGATTTTGTCGTAAGACTTGACATCGCCATCTTAGGAATGTCTCCATAGATCTAAAAAAGGGGAGACGCCTACAATCCCACGGGATTTCGAACAGGCGCCCACGTAAGCGCCCGATGATGTCATCACCCACGAATTCCGAAGTTAATTGAGACATAATTACGCCTTGCAGGATACAGTATGCGTACTTACTACGCACTAGGTTGCTTCAAAATTCGCCTCTGCAAACTGATTTCTAACACACCCGGCGATTCTTCCAAAGCAACGACCCCCTCCCAGTCATCCGGCATTAACACCGCCCTCTGTCTAGTCCCAAGGGCCATGGATGTGATCCAGGCTGGCCGACTTGTTCCCGTACTTCAACTGCAGCGTGTCGCCGTCCGCGTAGATCCAGTTCAGTTACTGCGGGTCTTTAGAGATGGTTCTGACGAGGCCCATGGGACTCTCGCCCGCCAGATAGTCCAGGTAGAATCCAGCGAATCCAGCGAACGGGTGCCCGTCATCGAATGTTCGATGTGACGTCAAGGGAGAGCGACAATTAATGGTGATCCTCGGCAACAGGATGCATTGATATATATCACGCACCTTTCGATCCCGCATACAACGATCTTGCCATTAAGCTCCTCCTCCGCCGGGCCACTCACGCGCAGGCTGAACTTGGCCAGACGGGGCTCGTCCTTTGGGTCAGCACCGCCGTAATGCAGCTTTCTTCAGCGGCAAGCCAACTTATAGGTTGTAGCGCAGGGATTGTTAATGGACAATTAGGCTCCGCGCGCAAAGGACTTGCATGGTTTCATGAGATGAAAGAGGAGCTGTATCGACAAGTTTTTTACAAGTTGGTCAACCAAAAAAAAAAACCAACACAAGCGACCCAGGCGCAACCCAGGTCCCAAGCCGCCAGGCGGCGTGTATTTGAAGTAGTTTTCAACCGGGCACGAACAATGAAGACACATGTATACATTGCATTGGGCACACCCGGACTCGCGAAGCGGAGCGGCGTTGGAACGGCTGCAAGAGGAACTGAGCTAACCGAACGGTTGAAATGGAAACCAGCTGAATTTTCATACCTTATTCGCTGTAGTCCGTCGTCAAAGATAATATCCCTCGTTGATGCAGCAACGGGAACGATTTTGGGTCGGCTCGGAATCGAACGATTGGGCTGGTGAGGAGCATCGAGAATCCACGGTCCGCGAGGAACCTGATCCCGACCTGGTTGAGGGAGGGGAGAGAGCGCGCCGTGAGTCCAGCATCAAATTCATTCATCCAGGTATCTTCACCTTGCAATTCAGGGAAAAGGGGGTCCACAAGCTCGGGAGCGAGAATTTTATAGAGGATTTCCTGGATCATATTCGGTTTTCCGATCTCCGAAAAAAATGGCCAACGTCGCGGGAAGATCGAACGTTATCGAGTGGATGATCCCAAGGTGCGTGAGGGCGGGAAACCGCATGAGATTGAATGGGTTCAAAATCGTCCGGGACGTATGAAGTCGATGGCATCTCGACGGCCGTCGAATCATCTACAGATTCGAGATTCATGATTAGGATCAACTCACAAAGTGAAGCAAATGGGGTACCAGCTCGGAATGTCAGCCACTTTAGCGTTTCACGCACTAGCTCTAAAACGGCTGCGACAGCCCCATTCGCAGACGCAGTAACATCCGCATGGATAAGATTGGTACAGTCCAGCGGGAAACCAGGACGGATGAACCATTCCGCAACGGACCCTGAGGATCTCAGTTAAAGATGCGTGATTTTCGCTTTCGCTGATGTGTGAGTCGCTGGCTGATCCCAAGACGGAGAAAGACGCAGGATTTAGACGACGTACTCCATACGGCGCCCGAGCACCTTCACTGCCGCCGGCCCCGCTTCCGCGCGCTAAGCTCAGGGTATACCGAGGGTGACGAGGGTCGTCCACCTCTGCAATGCGCGCCGCAGATATCAAGCCTTAACAGACCGACACCGATCAGCTAGGGGCAGCGACGCGCGAGAGGAGGGTACGTACCGCCCCATCCGCCCTGCGAATGCATCGGCGTCGAATTGCAGGCGCGCTGCCTGCCTTTCAGGTGCAGATTGCCTGCGCGCGCTGAGCTCGAAGCGTGTTGTGTGCGCATCAGGAGACGCGTCCCGGGGACACAGCGAGCCGTGCGGGTGGCAGATACGGGATATGTATATCCCACCCCCAGCCCCCGCGTCGCCCGCATCCCCTGCGCGCCACCTCCTCCTCATCGTCGCACACGTCTGCAGCTGCGTGGCGCGCATCCGCGAGATCTGAGTGACGCTGAGCAGCGGGGGAGCGAGGCCCGGGGAGAGGACGAGGATGGGGCACCGTACTGGACTTGGGCAGCCACAGCGTGGACGTGCAAGGCGTGCGAGCCGACAGGGAGGAGCTCCCGACCGCTTGCCAGTCTCGGTTCGTATTCCACGTCCTCATCGTCGCCACACCCAGAAGAGCGCGTAGCGCCGCCCGGATGCGTCACTTCCATCCGGGTATACCACAAGCTACGGCGTAGAGGAGCCGCCTCGCTGCCCGTCGCGCGAGGCGCATAGTCCCGCGCCTCGCCTCACCGCTGAGTAGATGGCGCGGATGCGGCTGCGGACAGGTATCCAGGTGCAGGCTGAGGCGGAGATACGCACACGATGCAGCGGAGGGACGCGGCGCGGGGGTGAAGAAGGCGTACGGATCGTCGCGACGTCGACTGCGTGCGGCGGGCCTGCCAGTGAGGCGCATCATGTGCGAGGACGGAAGAGGGGGCCGGCGGGGGGGTGGCGGGGCGGGGATCGCGGGTATGCATGATGTAGTATAGGTGCGACAACTGCGCCTCCTCGGAGGCCTCTCTGTTGGAGCAGAAGCTACACAACGTGCGGAAATCTTCGCCGGAAGCGATTCAAGATTTCAGAGTTGTAGCGTAAGCAGCGGGCAAGGTTGCGTCAGCGTTGAGCTGAGGCGGTCAAAGACTCGTGTAGCCCATATATCCCCTCGCTTTCTCGAAGACGCATTGCGAACTAGATATTCAGACGAGGATGGCGGGAGAAAAGACAATTGGACGTAAGCATACCACAACATTTGCACAGCCTTCGGCTTGAGCCGACGTTTGAACAAGCTGCGAAATATTGCTCGCTTACTTATCCAACTTCGCAGGGACAGAAAGCATCGGACGTGGTGTACGGTACACCGCCAAACTTTTTAACTGCCCGCACACAAAATTATGTGGCAGATCGAGGTTTGGCTCCCCGTGTCCGAATGCTGTCCTGCAACTCGTTTTTAACGTGCCGCAAAAATTGCTTGCCTAGCCTGTCCAAGTTCTCAGGTCTGGTTTTCAGCTTCATATGTTGCGGGAAGCAACTCGGTTTCGATTTCCCGTGTCCGGATAGTTGGGCAAGAGCGAGTATTTTCATTCGCCACAAGGAAATATCGCGCACCTACCCAACTTCACAGGGACAGAAAGGATCGGATGTGGTGTACGGTACACTGCCTCCTCTCCTGGGTCCGCTCTATGTCTCCCGTCACGCGAGGCAGCCCGGGGTTCGACTCCCCGCGTCCGAATGTCATGCCTGTTATGTACTTTTTGACCGCGCTGCGAAAATATCTCACCTATCCGAGTTCACAGGTCGAGAATCGTCGGACGTGGTGTAGCCGGGTACACCACCTCCAACCTTCATCAATGGGCATGGGGAAAATTATGAGGTAGGCCGGGGTTCGACTCCCGTGTCCAAATAGCAAATAGCTTGACACGGCTGATTTTGTTTGAGCCCACTGCGAATATATCGCTCACTTATCCACCTTCGCAGGGATAGAAGTCATCGGACATGGTGTACGGTACACGGCCTCTTGACCCGTCCCAACTCATCAAAAGGTCACCTGAGGCAGATCGGGGTTCGACTTCCCGCGTCCGACTGATTGTGTTTTCAGTGGCTTTTCTTTTGACCCTACTGCGAAATACCGGTCACCTATGAAGCTGCCCAGGTACAGGAATCATCGGGCATGGTGTACGGTACACCGCCTCCTCTCGTAACATTAATGTTCAAGAGTTGCGCGAGGCAGTGCAGTCCGGGGTTCGACTCCCTGTGTCCAAATAATAGGCCTTCCTTTCGACTTTTTGGGTCTTGGGCTTGGATACGCGCTGCAGAATATCACTCACCTATCCACCCTCGCAGATACAAAAATGATCGGACATGGTGTACGGTGCACCGCCTCCTCTCTTAACATTAATGCTCAGAGGTTCGACTCCCCGTGTCCGAATTTGCATCCACCATGCACTTTTTGAACCGACTGCGAAACGTAGCTCACCTTTCCAACTTCGCACGTACAGAATTCAAAGTGTCGGACATGGTGTACGGTACACGGCCTCCTCTCCTTGAGCTGCATGCGACAAGTTGTGCGAGGCAAATTGGGGTTCGACTCCCCGTGTCCGAATACTTCTGTCGTCCCTCTTCTTTTATTCGCAGACGTGGCGTACGGCACACGGCTCAGTTATGCGAGGTAGATCGGGCGTCGTCCGAATGTGATTTCCAGTAAATGGCTCAATTTTTCAAAACCAACTGCGAGTCAGTGCGAATTTCCCTGTGCCAGCATGCATAGAAATCAAGCGGCCAAGGTGCATTCCTCAACGCAAAGTTCGGCAGGCAATTATTCGCGTTCTCGCGGAACGATCTCGTCTACCACGATCGAGTGGCGAAGAATGCAGATTTGCAGCGGTTGAAGGGCTTTGACGCTGTCGCTTGAGTGTCAGAATGGTGAGAGACAATTGATCCGTGTTCTGTAGAGTCCCCTCCCTCCGTCCATTTCACTCAAATCAGGTTACTTCTTGCATCTAGTGCAGACCGTGTACAATGGTTTTCGGCGCTGTATCATATGAGTGAAACATAACTGATTGAAGGATAGCTACTGGGTTAACTGTATAGCAGTTCACCTGCCTTCTCCTTCGCCGCGACCTCGCGTTTTATGCTCCTCCCCTCATTTATGATGTCCTTGATGCCATTTTTCCATCCAATGGTTTCGGGTTGATCCAGCTCGGCCATCCGCAGGATAACATCGGTAAAAAGTGTGATTTTAGTTTCATGGTCGTCCACTGGGTTGATTATGGTGATGAGGAGAGCGGCACCGGCCTTTCCATTCGCCTTCGCTTTCTTGTCCTTGTCCTGAATTGAGTTTGTCATCGCCGTCGCCTCTCCTTCGCCCCCCATTACACGCGGGAGCTCAGAGCGATCAAGCACGAAGATGTTATCATATTCGAACATCTTCGATGCTTTGGACGGACGCTCTTTACGGACTCGTAATACGAGTACAACGAACTTCGTCTGGATGTTCTCGGGATGACGGTACACGGCGAGGCCTGACATACCTCGATCAGCCCACAAGTCCACGGTGTATATCATGCAATTTTTGACAGCATACCGTGCACACAGATCCAAGTAAAGGGAATCGGGCCCATCGCAGCGTGCCACGCCTTGAAGTCCTCCACCAGTCTCGCTGCAGCCGGGTCAGTTTGAAGGCGCGCGCACTCTGCAGCTTGGCTCTTGCAGAGCGCCTTGTGACGCGCCCAGTCTGCTCTCTGGCATTCGGTGCTCTGAGGCACTGTGAGGGAAGTCTTCGATGCGCTCTAAGCCCACTTACGCAATAATGAATCGACTTGCATTGCGCGCAGAGACGCATCGATGCACCGCCCAACTTAGTGTTTGGACACGTCGTGGCGCCGCATGCATGCTCGTTAATGCGATGGACGACGCTGTCTGCTGGATACGAGGGCATGTGGGTGTGATGGTGGGAGGAAGCAAGAGCGGATCTAACCTCAGCGGCCCGAGAAGACATCTTCGATGTGATGTCATGTGCCCGCAGATGTGCTAGTGTCCAGGACTGCGAGTACCAAGATGAGGTGGGAGCGGTGTACATGAATTCCATTTTGAAATAAAGCGGGTAAGGCCGACGAGCGGCACGGCCCGCTACCCGTGATTTTGTCAACTCGGGAAATAAAATCCCATACACAGACATTATCGAGTTGTGTTCCTCGCTTTTGGTAATCTGCTAACTGACTCCCCATAGGTACAAGTTTCTCAGTCCCATCTACAGAAACTCGGATCTCTTGATTTTCATCTGAGGCATCATTTAATTCTGATTTGAATCCATTGCACTCTCTGGTTCAAGAAGGTCATTAAGATATATTTCTTCATCATCTTCAGAGTCGGAGTCCTCCAGGTCGCTATCAATCTCAGGATCTTTTTGGTGTGCTCCAAGTTGTCATTCTGATCCTCATTTGGTTGTTCATCAGATTCTGCACTATTCTTGTTTCTGGACGGATAACATTCAGGGCTAGAAAGTTCTTGGTTGATGAAGCTTTCAAATGCTGTCCAGTACAAATTACGGTATGAATGGCTCGTAAAATTATCTTCATAGTCCATGAGGTATGAAGCAACCTGTTGTCCCGATAGTTCCTGCTGAGATATCATTGCATAGGTGCATTTCTGCAGTAACCGTTTCCCGCGGGCTGTCAATTCATCGTCAAGTGGATTGGATTCACCTAATTTTTTGACGGCAAGTTCCGGCATCGAAAATGCAACATGAGTTTTCAGCTGGGACTTCGTGATGTAATCGGTAATGTAGTATAAGATTCCTCTTGCGGATGCACCAGAGCCAATAAATTTAATATCCATGTTGCAGTGCATAGCTTCGATGATTGTTTTATTGAAATTGTTCACTAAACCATTCAGGCATCTCAAACAAAGCTCTCCCGTTTCTGGATCGAATGAACTGTCAGCACGAAAGTTGTCTTCATGTAGATCAAATCGGCAACTCTTAGGTTCTGGTGGTCCTCGCCAATATTTGAAACAAGTCTTTGAATGGCCATGACTTGGGCATTGTAATACAAGGTTGTGTAGATCCTGTTGTCGTTTTAACTCCCATGTTCTTGAAGCTGATTCATCTTCGTTCTTCTCGACTACAGGAATTCCTCGGACAGAGCACGGATGATATTTACTAGATTGAACTCCAACATTTGGTTGAGGTGCAATGGGAATCTCATTTGAGATTGTATCATCCAAGAATGCGATGAGCCGTTTGCAAAAATCAGCATCCGAAGCATCTGAACTTAGTGCACGTTTCTTAATTTCGTTCGGATTCAGTCCGCCTTCTACCCAAATTAGCATGTGACAATGTAGTGCCACATCCCTGGGCTTCAACACAACCATAGTATGCTTTCACCACACCAAGAATTCCACCTTCAAGATTCTTTCGCTTCGGGTCCCAACCAAGAAGGGCAGAAATGAAAGCCTTCATATACACATTGAAAAACTTGGCGGCTACAACAGGATTTTTTGCAACTAGTACAGCTTGGTCCCAATAATTTGGTATATTGTCTGGTAAGAGATTATCTACGTCGATTTCGGAGCCAGCTAAAAATTAACCACAGGATTAAACACGTCTGCAGGATTTATGGTGAGATAGCAACTGGGTAAGCCTTTCTCAATAATCAAGCCACGAATTTCGTTTCGCATTGCAACACGGGCAGCAGAAGAGCCTGGTACATTAGATGCCCCAGCATTGACTTGTTTGAGGAGGTTGAGAACTTTGCACTCCTCATCATTTTGTGGATTTGGGGAATTGCCGTTGACAACACGTTCCGACATTTTCTTAACCACTTCAGGAGAAACTGAGGCAGATTGAGTTGCAACTGATGCAAAATTCGCTTTTTTGACTCGTAGTGATGTGTGTAAAAGCATCTCACGAGCTGTAAAATATTGAAAGCCGTAAATATAAATGACGGGTGTTGGAATCTGGAATCTGCTAAGCTAATAGTCTCCCAAGTCAGACCATATATCAAAACTTTTCTTTTTAGGATTTGGGAAAGGAAAAAAACCTGACATAATGGTCTGATTTCAGTGGCGCAGCGAAAGCCGTAGGTCAGGCTTCCGGATTAGGAAACTCCTAATCGGGAAATCCAGTACTCAACCCCAGCGGCCAATAAAGGCTGCTGTCGAGGGAAGGCGACATGCCTACACTTCATAATGGGTGTTCCCGTCGAATCATGTCTCATGACTGCAATATTGAGCGTGTGGGGCGCCTTTCTGCAGATCAATACTGTGGCTGTGCGCGAAATTCGCACGGCTTGATTTTTGGTTTTTGAAGGGATCAGGATGGAATAAATTGAGCTGTACATCCAGGCTGGTGGCCAGAGGTCCCCTGGGGGTTTCTGGATACCGTCTAAGACAGTGATGGACTTAATGAGCCCAGCACGACCGATGTGGCGGAAGGTCGACCTACGGCTATCAGCCAGCAAGTAAAACTAGTTCAACCCGTTTCCCTTTGCGCAAAATCTGGATGTATACTTCAATCTTTTACGCAGCTCTCATAATGGTTCAACCTCCTCATATTGAATTTTTAGGGCTGAAAGTAGGCGACGCAGAGGAACCAGTGTGATTTTGCTCCCAATTAGAGCGCTAGAATATGTACTTGAAGATCAGGATCAAGTGAATTTACTCGCCATTCATCACAGACATCTACGCAATTGGGAAATATCAGATTCGGGGGCACAGTGGTCTGTTCGGGCGGGCCAGAGGAGTCTGAGTCTGCACATTGTCCAGATACGATATGCTTTGTTACTTCTGTATGAATCTGCTCCATCGTGGCTTTCGGTGGTATATTGATACGATGCAAAGCAGTAATAGAAAGCAACACAGGTCGACGATGACTTTCAAAGGAATCAAAGAAGTTAGCAACTGATGTAGAAGACGGGCGGTCTGCATCACAAGATGATATCATAACCAAAACTTTCCGAATTGAAGCACGCAATTTGAAGCGGATATTGCGACGGCCTGCAATTGATTGTTATTGTTCAAGGCAGCCGCTACATGCAAGAGATTCTCAGTTGAAATTTGATTATGATCAGCATGAAGAATAATCTCAAGAATAGCTTGAGAGATAACAGCAGAAGAGAGGAAATCGTTGGCTATACAACGGCAAGTTGCGCGCTGCGGCCGCGACTCGAGGAAGCATCAACGGTGTAGTCGGTGCAAGCACCTGAAATGAGATGGTGAAGGAGAGCCCGGCGGCATTCAATTCAGTTCATATTGTTATGGGGGATAGCATGCAGTTCGAGAGCAGTTCTTATTGTGGATAGGTCACCATGGAAAACAGATATGCGTGAACGTGTAGAATGGTTTCCAAGAAAAATATCTCGTAAGATGTCAATTGAGATTGTAGAATGAGGACATGGGAGAGTAATTCGAGAAGATGAGGCGACGGAGAAGTCTAGGGCAATGTCTGAGTCAAAGTGAGTAAGGAACCGGAATATGGAAGATAATGGGTCTGTACCTGATGATTCCGGCGAAAGGTGGTGGTCAGTATCCATCGCCTGATGAGCCACGGGATACGGTGGAGTCTCAGGGACTGACGGGATGATAAGAGCGGACAGCATTAAAAAT